ATGACTCGAGCTAATTAGTCATTTCAACTTAAATTTGAATTAAGTCAGAGAACGTAAAAGCATGCTGCGAAAGATGTAGAACGCGTCATCGACTGAAATAAATCAACAGCCAACTACAACGTGATAAATACGTAGCTTTAGATTATTATTAATTTAATAATTAACTTGATAATAATAATCTAAGTTATGTTTCATCAAAACTTCCATCCCATCGAAATGAGTGGATCAATTTCAAGAAATTTCGGCGACAAACAGGTTAGATCTGACGAGGTTTGACATAGTTAAAAATTTGAGAATTAAATAAAAAAAAAGAAAAACATAACGATGCAAGCGCTGCATTTACAAAAGATCGACAAATTATTGATTAAAACAAATAACTGCGAATAGGTCGATTTAGTTGAATTGTTCAAAGTGTTATGTCTCGTACAAAGATTAATAACAGATGGACTGGATTTAAAGATTCAACGCGAGGGGGATGATCCTCGATTTCACGTTCCACGAAATAAAAACTTCACCGGTGGCGTTCTCAGGTTTCCCCGAAAATTTCTCGCATGCTTCGGCTTTCATTGCTCTCTCGGCTGTACGCCCCGGTATGTTTCTTTCTAAAAATCTACCCGGTTACTACGCTTTCGCGGAATCTTGCTGTATATTTCTCTAACGTCCCCGTGGCGAAATATCTCTCTTTCTCACCGTCGTAAATATTACGCTTCCGAAGCAGGCCAATTGTTGTCTTAATGTTTGCAGCATCTTCGAACTCTTCGGAAGCCGAATTATTTGGCAGGAAAAGGCTTTTCGAAGAAAAAGAAAAAAGCAATTCTTTCACATGATATCCTCTACTCCAAATGCTGTGCGGAAAGAGTGAGAAATATCCATAAAACAAAGGGTCACTAGCCTTCTGCCTCATACAGAAAAGCATTCATACTTGAATTGAATGAAAGTTAAACATTCAAAATTGCGGAGAATTTCTCGCGAATGTATATCGATACGTTTCAGACTGAAAATGATTTAAAAATTCTTTCCTGCAAAATGTCAAGTGTTTGAAAACTCTAAGCTACGCGAAGCTCCCCCCCCCC